GCCCGCCCGCCACGCCGTCGCCGAAGGCTCCAAGGCTGTTTCCAACTATGTCGCTTTCGACTCCAAGAAACCGTAGTCCTAATCTTTTATTTAGGGTTTTTAATTGATTTTAAATCTCAATTTCTTTTTTTCTTTTTTTGTAACTCAGGTTTAGTTTTCTCTAGGTTTTTTTAAATTGTATTTGTGGGTCGGGATGTTATGTGCGTAATCCCCCTTTTTGAAATTTTTGGTGTGTGAAATATATGTGACTCCACATAAAAGGGGGTTGTTGTTACGTTTGCTATGACCCTGTGTTTTGCTCTGTTCGTTTTCCAGGATGTTAAATTGCACTCTAGCATGTACATTATGGTATCATCATCATCATCATCAAAAAGCTTATTCCAGCTTTCATTTCTTTCCTTTTGTTAATGTTTTTGAGAATAACCAAAAAAAAAAAAAATGAACAAATCATCATTCTTTCTTACAACCCTTGTGCATGTATATTAAATTAATGTATATATATGAGCTGGAGTTAGGTTTATATTCTTTATGGGTTTCAGAGGAAGGAGGAGTAAGCACGGACGGCCTCCACCACAGGAGCTCTGCACATTGGGCACTTCTCTCCCGCTCTCACCAGCTCCTTCGCGCACTTCTCACACGCGTTCATGTGTCCACATCTGCCATCACCATCACCATCATCATCATCATCATCATCAACTAATTGTCTCAGGTCAAGGGTGGTCCGTACCTGTATAGCAGAGAGTCGATGTTGTTCTCACAGCATATGCAGCATATCCCTTTCCGTACGTATTCCCATCTGCGTTCATACTCTCTTGTGTCCTCCTCCCACGTGCCTGCTCGTAAAAAGAAAGTATGATTGCGACTGCAAAATCACAAAAAGAAACCTGATGGGGAAAAACAAAGTGGATGGAAAGGATGGAAACCTGATGGGGGAGGGGTTCGGTTCATAGCAGCGGAGACCTCTTGTCTAATCGACCGTTGTAACTCTAGTTGCATGTCCATGCACGCCTCCAGCATCCTCTGCAGGTTGTTCATCCTTTGCTGTATCCTTGCCATGTCAATCCTCAAATCGTTCACTGACTCCCCGTCCTGAAGACCACGCACGATTCCGTGTCAAATTAACCCAAGATCCATTACCGAAGAAATTGCTTCAGGGATTTAACCCACCATCCCGATGCCCTGATGCAAGTCATCTGAAGGCCAGTTCGCATCGGATTGTTCATGTTCCCAGAACGGCTGAACCGGAATCATCGGCGAGGGTAGAGATAGAGGAGGAGATTCAAGAGTCCTGTGTTCTTGAACACCATTCTGCTGCTCTGTCTCTTGATCCACTTAGGGAAAGTCTCGTTCTCTTCCCAGTCCACATGGTTACGGTTCTGTCTTTCCATATATGATCGCACCAGTTGGTCAAGACTCTCCCTGAACCCACTTCGCAAAAGATTCGACACGCGTCTCCTGTAGTCCAAACAGAAAATATAAAGTACATTCGGTAGCCAACAAGGCATAAAGACAGAGCAAATCTTTACCTGCTCAGGAGTTCCCTGAGTTCCATGTTGTAAACATGGTCATCATCCGGGGGATAGAATGTGGCAGCCCCTCCAATGGGAAATGTGTCCTGATCACTGGGTTGCATATCATGAGCTTCCGGCCAGCCTTGAAGCTCTCCATCACTGGGTTGCATATCATGAGCTTCTTCCCTATCCTCATCCAGTGATGATGCTTGGGACAACTGATTCGTAAAATTCTCAGGCATAATTGTATCGTCCTCCTCTTCAGCATCATCTCTCCATCCATTGGACTCACTATTGATTATTTGCCAATCAGATTCTTCATCTTCCAGAACCTCTTCCTGCTGTTGTTCATCTAGTGCGACAGTTGGGTTAATGCTTTCAGCTAGATTCTCCTCTACATTTACTGATTCATTTATTGATTCCAGGGAAGCACTTTCCTCTGTACTCCACTGATGCAATTCAAGCATCAACTCGGTACTCTCTTGCGGATGATGATGACAATGTTGTCTAGTTTCTTCTCCTGAACTTTCGGTGGATGAATCCCCAGTACCATCATCCCTCTGATGGCTGTGAAGGTCAGATTCAGTATCATTTCTTCTTTCTGAAAATTCATCACTAGTCGACTGTTGCCATTCTCTTTGGAGATTTTCAGGGGGTTGCCCCCGCCACTCTTCTACACGAGCTGCCCTTTCTTCTGTACTAGCGTTCTGGCTATTATGAAGTCCTGAATCAGTTGTCCCATAAGCCGAGCCCTGGTTATCAGCTTCTCTTCTGTTTTGATCCGAAAGCCCATCCGCATCATTGATGCAATCAGAAGAATTTAAACAATTTGGTTCACCTATATCACCATCACTTTCAGCATTCGATGTGGTATCCGAGTGACTGGTGCTTGTTTGACCAGAGGCAGATCGGTCAAGCAGGGATATAAATTCGTCCCTGATGCAAACAGAAGACATGAGAACTGATCAAAAAGTACATATAGAGAATGAACGCAGATATATGATCTCAGATTGAAACATCTATAGAGAAGACTATACAGGGATACGAGGAAAGGCTTCCAAATATAGCAATGAGATGCACCAAAACGATTGAGTTTGAGACAAAAGAACTACCTACCTCAGCCCAGATACCGGTTGCCTCTCTCTAAGAAAGCCCAATTCAGTAGCTGCTGATGATGACGTCGGCCTTTCTTTATCAGCAATGCTGCTATTCCGCAGGAATCTTCCTCTTAGTAATGACTGCGGTAGCAAGTAAAGATCATGGCTTCAGGCTATGTTATAGATGAAAAAGTTTAATCTATTGTTTACCCGAGACAAACTCAGGACATAAATACAAGACCCCAAGCCTTTTAGCTTATAGATCCATTCAAAAACCTACATGCCAGCTTAAGCTGACCTAATTACTGCATCAGAGAAAAACTTACATAAAGGGCAACTATAGAGTAACTCAAGAACTGCTAAGTAAATTCACCAATTCCTATTGCTGTTAAAATCTTTCAAAACAAAAGAGCGTTAAATAACCAAAATGCAAACAAGGAGTGGATCAGCACAGAAAAATGTGACTCGAGAACTGCCAAGTAAATTCATTTTAAATGTGAACAGTACCAAATTTCATTTCTGCATTAATGAAAAGCATGATACCCAAAACAAATCTTATGAGCGAACCTGAATGCGATTGCGATGAACAAAGTTTGACACAGCATGATGCTGCTTCAAATCCTGTAGCTCTCTTTGTCTTTCCCTCTCCGCTTTTTTTAGCATATCAAGCAACACTTGCCTACCACATAACTTGCGTATGCCTCTTCTAGCAGGCTCATTCTGGATACGGTTCTCATTAACAACCATTCCATCAAGCACTTGTTCAATCTGGTTAGTGACTTCAGAAGGCTGATCTTCTCTTGGGCCGCTGGGGACAGCTCTTTGCTGGCTATTCATCTGAACCCACTCCCTTATGATTCTAACCCTCTCTTGTTCAGTTTCCCCAAGCCATTCTGCTCTTGAACTGTTGGTTGAGTGGGAAGCAGCAGAAGTACGGTCACCTTCCCCAGAATTTTCCCTTTCAACCATCCCCAGATCCGAAGAGTGCTCACTCTGAAAAAGGTCAAGATCCTCACTTGAGTTATGTGATCCCAAATGACTCGGGGTCGGGGACCATCCACCAAGCTCATTTCCATCCAAGTTTACATTATCAAAAACAACGTCATGTTCACTACCATTATTCACAGAAACATCTCCCCTTGAAACATTGGGAGTGGAAAAACCACTCCTTCGTTGAAGCAATCTATCAGTATCTCTCTCTCGGGCATGACCCATCACATGGTCATCCTCAAGTTCCCTCCACATCTGCAGGAGTGAGGATGCCCGGACGACAAGACGTGTTAATTTTGAAGTTACGATTACAAAGTCTTTGAAGAGGAATCAATCACCGAAATATTTTGTAGACCGGCAATGGCCATTATTCCAATCCACAGTCAAGTCCTTAATCCCATTAACCTAAAACACATGAAAAGCCAAAAACCTATTTACCAAATATACACAAAGGTGGCTCCTACAAACAGATCAGATCGTCTCAAATAAATGCTAAGGCCAAGATCATCAATTTAACACCTCAGGTATATCATTCCACCACAATCATAAAAGCCACGTTGCGTCAAATCATGTAGGGCTTGTTATCTCTCCGACTTGAGAACAGAACATAAAATACAGGTCCAAGAACCTGAAAAGAAACAATTAATCATCCAATTAGGGAAAATCCAAAAAGCAAATTTACCATCTTTTTTCATTCAAATTGACAAATTCCATCCCATTCATCGAAGAACCAAACGAAACAAAGCATACAGAATCATCACGTCCGCAACCGGAGATTAAAACACATAAGCAACAAGAAAACAAATCCAGAGTTTGAATCTGAGATTCCAAATCACGTCCCCGCCCAAAGTTTTCACAATAGAAAGCAGAAACGCTGCGTAGTTAAAGCTTTGGGGAGAAAATTCGGGAAACGGGAACCCTAAATCTTCGGTCCTCACGAAGGAATCGAGAAAATCTCGAATCAAATCCTCATTCCAAAAGGATCCAAAAATATCTCACAGAAATCCATTTCAGAGAGCACAAATCTGATCGAGACCAAAATCCAGATATTTGATTAAAGACGCCACCATGAAAAAAGAAAAAGAAAACGTCTTCGAGTTCAAAAAAATTCCAAGAAAATCCAAAAAATCTACCATTATGTAACCCACCAAAATCGCAGAAGGAATAAAAATACAGAGAGAAGCGCCATGAACACACCAGTGAAGCTCCTCGCTTTGATCTTGGAGTGAAGGAACGGTTACCTTTCGCGAGGGCGAGAGAGACATAAACCAGAAAACGCGAGAGAGAGAGAGAGAGAGAGAGAGAGGAAATAAATCAAATGAAAAATGAAACAAAAAGAGAAAATATATAGAGAGGGGGGATTGAGAGAGAAGAACACGTGGAATTTTGTTTGCTGTGGAGAGGATCTTACCGTAACACTAACGCCTGGAAATATGTATCTATTGTCCAATCACTAAGCGACACGTAGGATGTCCCTATTCCCAAAGTTTGGCTCTTCTTTTTGTCTGCGAGTATTTTTAATTTTAAAATTAATTTGTTTTCCATATAAAAATAATTTAATATCACAGAAAATTTTATTTACCAAATAAATATGGCATTATGTTTTTTTAATTTTTAACAACAAAATTTCTATATTCTAAATTTGGTTACAGATCTTAATTTTAAATTTTGTTAAAACTTATAAAGTTTATACAAATTTTCCAAAACTAAAGAAATTAAGGAAGAAACCTAAATCCAAATTCATTTTTATACAGAAAAATAATTTTCTTTAAAAAATAGTTTAAAAATAATTTTCGTTTTCATTGTTACCCTGATAATTTAAATAAACTAAGAAATATATATTAATAGTTATTGTGTCAAGGATTCTAACTAGTTATATATTACATATAAAAATAATCCAAATTTAGATTTTTTTATTATATTTTGATCGAGATAATATTTTGGTTATATATTTTTTAGTGATCTTTTCAATTTTTTATCCATTATTTGTTTGGAATTCAGGTTTATACATATGGTAAGACTATTTAAAAAATAAAATAATAATTCCGCAAGTTTCAAGTTTTTTTTTTTTTTTTTTTTTTTTTTTTTGCAAAGAAATGTTTGAATTTGGGTAAAGATTTTCTTAAAAGTGTTTAATTAAAAATCTAACTTTAACGAAAAGGTAGACAACATCTAAGTTTCTGATTGGAGTAATTTATAATATAATAGGATTAGATTTGCTTAGTCATAATTCAAAATTTTATGTGATTAATTGCAATAAAAAGTATGTGTATAATATAACCATGAAATGGTCCCCTTGTTTGTGCATCAGTAGATAGGCTTAATAAAAACATGGTCCCAATGTTTTTTTTTATCCGCTAAATATTCCATAACATTTTAATTTACCAAACTTTATGGAAAAATTCTACTATTTTACTATCCATATATTGATATGTTTGGCCTCTCATATAAGCATATTGATATCTTCTAATTTACATCTGGCACTAAGCTGTCCATTTAAATTTTTTTGGAGTGTAACTTTCAATTCCATTTTTATTTTAATTTATACGTTTTTCAATTTAAAAAATATTTAGAATTGATATCCGATTCACTTTTCGCTCAATTTTAATTTTATAGAAAAATATTCACTTTCAATTGGATTAGTTTTCGTATGTTTCTAAATTTTAATCCATATTCGATCCTAATTTTATAAGCATATATTGCTAATTTTGAAGTTTTCATGGTGGAATGTTTCAGTTGACGCAATGACTAACAAGACGTGTTAATTTTGAAGTTACGATTACAAAGTCTTTGGCTTTTGACAAGAGAGTATTACCACACATTGAAAACGATAGATATTACATTTCCTCATAATCTGTTTTTAAAAAAATTGAAATACGTACACGGTATTTTGTTCTCCCCCTCAAAAGATATTATAAATGTGAAATAAAATTCTTAAAAGTCATCATTAATCCAATAAACAAATTTATACCATAAAGCATCTTTTTTCCATTCTTTTTTTGAATTTCTTAATTTTATTCAATTAGAAATCGAGAACCCAATAGTGCATGCATCTAAGTGAAAATTAAAGGCTCCATTCAAATAAGTTTGGTTATAATAGAACGTGTGACCACATAGAATGGTAGAACATATTCATGTATAAGAAAATAAAAATAAAAGTATGCCTTAGTTTCATGGAAAATTCAAGAAAAATCGTTACTGATTAATTCTTTATAGATATGCCACCGACAATGTTAGTGGCCATAATCATGGTCCAATTAAGGGAAACATATATTTCATGAACCATAAAGTTTTAAACTTTTAATATGATTTATTATCATTAAGCATAAAAGCTTTAATGTTGCTTCAAAACCCGACCACTTGCTAATGTGGCCAATGTTAATAAAACCTTAATTAAGACCCCGTTATTATTAGGCACATTGGCTGAATCATGGGCGCATGCATGCTTTCAAAGGAAAATATAACTTCTTTTAATAAAAACAAAAACAAAACAGAAACAAAAATTATTTTAAGAAAACATAACGACGGCCAATTCTTAAAAATTCAAAAAATATATATATTTGGAATATATTATTACCATTTTAACCAAAAACAATGACGTTATACATCCAATTCAACAATGTATGCATCTAAACAATGATGTTTTACAGATATTAAGTTACAAAAACAAGTAAAATTAAGTAAAGGGAGAGAGAGGGACATAGAATTGCCGCCCATGGTCATAGTTTTCTCTCTTTTTTTTTAGATCATAATCATGACACATTAACTTTTTTCATGAACCCCTTATCCTAATTTTTATTTAGCTAGGGTCTTGCTAGAAGATAAAATATGCTAATTATAAAATCACGCACAAAAAAATGTGAGAGGGGCCCTAATTATGAATTATGATACATTCAATGCAAGTGAATTCTATGTACTTCTAAAGGGAAAATAATGGATGAAAAGTGGCATCAAGTGAAAGATTGATGGGCACAATTCAAAACTTCTTCTTCTTGTTTTTTTTTTAAAAAAAAATTCTAAATGGCCACAAGACTTTAGTGTACAATGAACAAGAAGACAGGAAGAAAAATGAAGCTCACATCAAAACAAAAGAGGGGGTGCATGTGTTATGTTAGGTTTAGGGTTTGAGACATGAGCTGTGTGTCCTTTGAGTCTTTCACATCAAACATGTGGCCATCTTGTGTTTCTCTTTAGCTAAACAGAAAGCCCCTCATGAGCAAAAACTATCAAATGAATAACAACATCAACTAAATGTCTGCTCATATAAAGTTTTGGCCTTTACTTGGGGGGCACACCCCTTGAAACTGAACTCTTCTTTTCTTTTTCTTTTTTTTTTTTGAACTCAAGCACTTTGTTTTCCACTTTTGATTGAACCCTAGATCCATGATAAACGGACATTAGTCCTTGTCTCATGAAACAGTTGATAACGCCACTCATACACATGTCCTTTCTATTTGTTATATTCCAATGATATGACACCATAGTTATCTTTGCTTTCAATTCTCAAAGATGATATGAAGAAATATTGCAATGTACTAGTGATTTGTGGTCACATGCATACATCTAAGCTTTAAACCAAAGTGTCCCAAATCACCAATTGTCTTTCAGTCCTGTTCCGGTTTAGTTCAACTGGCTCTCTATCATCGTTCTAATACAATAACAACAATAATGCCTTAATCCCAAATTTATTCGGGATCGGCCGGTTAATTATTTTCTTCTTTTCATTTAGATCTTAGGTTAAATCCTCTGAAATTTGCAAACTTTTCAAATCATTACTAATCATTGATTCTTAAGTGAATTTATATCAACCCTCTTCATCTTTAATATTCCTACGTTTTCTACTTTTTTAACGGGGTTAAATCCTCCCAAATTTGTAAAAGAAAAAACATACTAAACCTGAGAAATGCTCGTACAACTGATAAAGATGAACCAGACCAATGATAACACAGCTAGTTATAAGAGCCTCTAAACAAGACACCAGAGTACCATGGCCAAGTCGAACATGAACTCAACACTCTAACAGAAGTGAAATTACCCACAGAAAACGCCAGGGAGATTTTCCGTGTGCTTACGAGAGATATAAACTCACACCCGTTTCCATAGTTAATATATTTTCGAATATTTTCACCATACCCGAGTTGTTGTTTAGGTGATCATTACTTGGCAAGCGAATTAGCTTGGTTCTCCTGCTGCTGCTGCTGCTGATAGTTGAGAGGCCTCCTGAAGAGCATGATGTGTGGTTCAGGGCGGTGGATGGCATAATGGACCCATCCCCTGCTCTGCTGCACTCCAATTGCACGCCATTCGTTCTGCAAACACACATGAAGATAAACCGTTCCCTTTGAAATCTCGATCTCCGGTCAAGAAGCCACAGCTATGTGATAGAATGGAAAGATTTGCAATGGATATCCTTGATAGCTACATCACTTACAGTGAGAGGCATAAAACTTCAAGAAGATACATGTCAATATATATTTCTCTTTATGTAATTTAAAAACAAATAAGAAACCTACAGTTCACAATTTGCCCTGCAAGGAGACGGGGAACAGAATTCAGGAACGCTTAATGCAACAAACTTTGAGATGCCATTCAATAAAATCTCGGTGTTATAATATCCCACACGAAACTTCACCAAATTTTCAGAATATGGGTGAATGAGATCATGAAGATAGCATTCAATAAAATCGCAGAACTAACAAAAGAACTATCGTGTACTATGGTCAAACCTAAAAAACGAACAATGTTGGGCAACGACTCCATTGGTAACAATTCACTACTTTCAGTAGCAAGTTAGCAACCAAAAACAGCATCAAGAAAAAGAAACACCCATATTTCCTCCATGATTCAGAATTGTCAGCTCCATCCAGGCTCGAATTCATAATCACAAAGCATAATACACAAAAGCATCTCCAATTCTCACAGGGCTACAAATAAAACATCCTAAACTTCTTTTCCATACATATGGGTGGGAATTAGAACCACAAAAACCAAGACAAAAATGAAACCAACGTTGGCAACCCAACGATCACGACACAACTCAAATTCACAAAACGACAGTACCTGGCAAAAGAAAGACCTAAAGAAGCAAAATTAGTGAGAACCCAGATAACGTACTTCAGAAAGGAGGCGATTCTTTGGGAGAAGCTTGGCCACTTGAGGAGGAAGCACGACATGCCTGTACGAACCAAGAAAAAACACAACTAGAAATTCTCAAAATCATGCAAAAAAGGGGATCAGAATCAAAATCGATAGTTTACCTATACTCGAAAGTATCATCAAAATATTTCTCGGAGTACTGGATCTGAGCCATCCCTCCGATACCCCAGAACCGATTGTGCTCAGATAAACTTCAAAAAGTCGAACAATCCGTCCACATTAAACAATCGAAGCGAAAAAGAAAAGGGGAGAGATTTCGAAAAAAAATCGAATCGATCACTAGAGGCTCTAATCGAGAATTCGAGAAGAGGATTCAAACCTTGATGACGGGAAGAGCGAGCAAGCGTTAGAGTGAGTGAGGGGATACGAAAATGAATTGGGGAAGAAATCAGCGAGAGGACGAGAAGGGAATAAAAGGTGTAGGGCAAGGATGTAATAACGAGAACAACTCAGGGGTATAAAGGTAAAACACATAGACAAATGGATTTTGTGTTTTGAATTTGAACTTCTCATGAGGCGCTCCTCCCGCTCTAAGGGAGATCTTTCGTGATGCGGTTCAACAAAACCGAACCGGTTGATGTCCCGCACGTATGTCCGGTTTGCAGATACCAAATTCACATGTTTTGTGGTATAAATATCTCTCCTCTGTTAAATTTAACAAAGCTGATGAACATTTAAATAAACTAATGCTTAGAGATTCAAAGATAGACAACATTTGTGAATATTTCAATGGATTTTTTTTTCAATTATAAAAGGAAAGAAGCTCGATATACATGATGATAATAATAATAAATAACATTCCAAAATCCCCAAAAAATGGAACCCGAACCCCCTCCCCCAAGAGAAAACCCCAAAATAGCCTCCTCTTCTACCAAAATGCTGCCCGATGATGAGATTGAGAGCTGTACAAGAAACAAAGAGGGGGGAGAACCCTAACCCTGTGACCGGAAAACAGGACCAGCCTCCATTGCCGTGAGTTTCCAAAAAACCAGAAAGATGACGACTGAAGATACACTGTTGCCGCTACAGCTGTGTCTTGATGTTGATGGTAGAGGGGACAGGCTTTCTCAGCATGGATGTGCCATCGAATACCATCACCTGGAAGTCTTTCCTGTATTGATCCACCTTTTTATCATCACACAACCAGGAGACTTTTTATTAGTATCAGATACACTGGACGGATTTCCGTCATTAACCAAAAAGAAGAAAACGAAATCATCATCGAGATCGAGTGTACTGTAATGTAAAGGTACCTCATCATCGGACATCTTCGTGAAGCCAAATTTGTCGGTCCATATGGACTTGGCTTCATCAGCTGCCGGAAGCACCATGTGCTTCACCTTTAGGAATCCCAGCAGCCTTTGGATGCAAGCAAACAGGCATTGGAAGTAACCCTACACACACACACGAAACCAAAATCAAAAACATTATAGTCCGGCTGTCATCAGATCAGACACGTAGCAAAAATCTCGGGCAAGAACCCTCTTTTTTTTTTTTTGTTCCAATCAAACATGTTGAACGAACGTCCATTGTAACAAACGCATAGTCTCGGTTTTTAAAGTGTTTAGGATATGGAGTCTCCTCCAGTGTTTTGCTTTGCATGGATAAGTGTTACACAATAATTTTACCTGCCCTTGACAATCATTGCTGGTTGCGACCAGAGGAAGTTCAGCAAGTTCTGACCCGAAAATCCTGAAGACTCCTACCGAGACAATCACCTCACTGCCCAAGCAAGCGATAGAAATAACACCAATTGGTTACAACAACTGAACTTTAATTGTTCATGCCAACAAAACGGAAAAAGACTGAAAAGGAAAAGAATCTTACTTCACAGTCAGTATGGTGCAATACATGCCACTGAAATCTTGGTCTTTTACTTGCCTTCTGCTCCACACTCAAAAGTGCAGGCCCATTAGGCAATGAGTTTTCTCACAAAGCATGTGCTATTGATTGAAGAAATCGATGAACTACTTACCCATAGACCATTGCTGGGATGAGATCCCCTCTAGCTCCAGAGTGACAGATAGGATCAAACCGCTCCTAAAATTGTTGGAAAGCACAAACAAAAAGTTGACCAAAAGAATTCATAAGTTTGAAACTATGAGCCAGTTTTATACAATGCAACATTACAATCACACAGTTCAAGTATGGCCTGGACATACATGAAAGATTGCTACTGCCCTTGCGAGTAGGGCTTTCGTATCATCAGAAGCGGCCATTTTCCCACGAAGGACTCTCCATCTAATGTCTGGATCAGTGTTGCCATCTGAACAATCTTCTTCGTCAAGTTTTTGCTTTTTCCTTATAAATTTTAGAAAGTTGTTGTCAAGCTTCTCATCTCCGTGAATTATCAGGTTTTGCAATGAAGTATGGATCTTTTCACAGTCCGACCCACAGAACCATCGTCCTTCAGGTAGCTCCTGTTAAAAAACCGTGTCAGTAAAACTGGGATGGAAGCAAAAGGACAACAATCATGAAAGATAAAGGGTCTTTTCTGAAGAAAATAAGAGAGGAAAAAAATTGGTATGAAACAGAAAGAGCACACCTTAAGATCAGCAATCTTGTGTTCTTTCAAACAGCCCACGTGGAATTCCTTCTCGCACTGGGTAAAAGCATAGAGAACAAAATAGTGAAAACAAAATTGCAGAGTAAAGAGACTTAAGGTTCAGAAAAAGGAAACAAACAGCAAAATACCTGATCACAGATAATCACAGTTCGAGGATTAAAGCCCAACCTGCTGAAACTATGACCTCTGCAGTATAAAAACAATTACGGATCAAGTTGAGACTTAAGAAGTTAAGATGTAACTAATGCCTAAACATTTTCGCTATGAAACATATTGAGATGCTTTAATACAAGCTAACAGAAGAGAAAGCAAAACTACAAGCCGCGAGCAAAGAACTGTTGCGAAGAGAAGAAGACAAAGATGACACTTTTTTTTCTGGCAGAGCTTAAAAGATTACAGTTATTACACGTTTCTATGGTTGTACCAGGTAAATTATTACATGAATACACAAAGCATAACAGAAAAGACTGAAACTTCACCTGCATAACACGCATACACTTGGGAGCCCACTTCCAAGAGAACTGACAATTCGAATGCATCTTTTGGTTATCTGTGCAATTGCATCAACTCCTATAACTCTTCCAGCTGCTAAGGCATTGGCATTACACTCCACAAACTTTTCTCTCAAAAGCATATTTGTACACCATTTGCAGGACCACTTCCCAGTCGGAAGGCTTGATAGAGAAGCACAGACTGGTACAGAAACAAAGAAATAACCAAGCAACCTCAATTAAGGGAACACCACCAAAGCTTTTCGAGGTAACAATAAATTAACTTTATTCAAACAGAAAATGGACAAACCCAAGAACCAGACCTGTATGAAATGACCTTGGACAAGTATCACAGCACAAGAGGTCGCCTCCATCCTTACAAATGCTGCAAAGGTCATCATTTTCTTGAATAGAAAACTTTTGGTCTCTTGATAGTGCTACCGATAGTTCGTGCAGAGATACCCCATTGGTTGTATAAATATGTTGAAATCTGTTGAACAGGGCAAGTAAAAAAAAAGAATAATTACATTATTCATATTGTACTCCTGTGAACCACAATGGAAACATTAGGAAGCAGATGGTTGCTGAGAAAATACAAGCCGTAATAAGAAGAGAGACCGCAGATGCAGCGACGCAAAAAAATAGAACACAAACATGGAAAAATTGGAAGGGACTTACGGCTTCCGACGACTTGCGCAACCAGCATGAGCCTCAAACTGCGAAGGACTGACCTGGTCCATACGGAGATTAAAAATGATTCAGAACCCTACATCAACCAGGGATGCAAGATATGAGGTGGTAGAAAACTTACCACTGTGTTGCAACAAGAACAATGTATTCCGAATGCCTTCTTATAGCCAACAAGCATTTTCTGCACAAGAACAAATTTGCTTGACATAAAAAAATGGAATTGACTGGATAACCCATGTCACAAACAGAATCAAACCTTTCCAGCAACAAAATAGCCGACTTCAGTCCCATCTGGCAGGATATCATCCTCAAAAACCAGTTTGTGCAACCGCACATCCCTATGAAATGTGGAACACAGATTCAGAACTAATAAAAAAGACAGTGAAAAACCAACAGAACAATCCAAAACAGGGAAGTAGTCCATCAAGTAAATGCCATCACATTTAGACACTACTCACTTTCTGGTTAGTCTTCCTTTACTGTTGCTTTTGAGTGAGCTAGATTTTGACTCACTTGGAATAGTTTCTGGACCCACCTTTGGCTCTGGAGACCGCAGATCCCTTTTCAAATGATACAACACAGATTCGAAACTAATCAACATCTAACATACAGAGAAAAACTAACGGAACTATCCAGTACCAGAAACCAGTCCATGACTCCATGGTGTAAATGCTATCACATTTGGACACTGCTTACTTTCTGGTTAGTCTTCCTTTGTTGTTGCTTTTAGGAGAGTTGAATTTGGACTCATTTGGAACAGTTACTGGAATCACTCTTGGCTCTGGCAATCTGTAGAAATCCAAAAAAGAATTTAACTTTATAGCCAACATATTAAGTAGCCTATAAGATATCAGCACAAAACAAGAAGGAAGTTATGCTATCCATCCCAACAATATTATACACAGACAACTACATAATTGAAGACTAACAAAAAATTCATGTTATGTAGTCAAAATATCATTTTCAAGAGCAAATAAAATTCAGACAAGCTTCTTTTTTAAAACTTTACCTCCCATCTAGACAAGCATATATTTACCTGAGTTGGATATTACACGTTCATCCATCTATTTTGTATTCTACAAATCAATGGATGATTTTTCAACTTGAAAGATAGAAACATACCTCTCAACATTGCCATGCACTTTAGGAGGGCTGGTCTGAGATGCCTTTTCTTGTTTCTTTATCTCTAAACATGATTTGCACAATACCAACGTCTTTCTATCACAAGGCTCGGTCAATGGTCCTGCAATCCATTAGATGTATACCAGTCTGAGTTCTTTGATAAGAAGCACTCTGATGCAAAGGGTCTTTACAAAGTACCAAATTCAATGAACTATCAGCAACCTTGGCAATTAAAACACAGGCTAGACTTCTTCATGGTTGGCCCGACTACCAGCTGAAGTTTTTCTTCCAATGTAAACAAGGAAGGTTCTCTGCATGCATTCATGACATCACAAAGTGTCTTTCCTGTCTCCAACAAGATATAGTCAAGTGGCTGCTTGTTTGTGCTGGAGGCATGTGACTCAAACACATCGGGGCTCACAACCTATAAAGATAGCATCTATAAGGTTTGACATTGGCAACAACACTACCATTTGGCAGAACAAATTGTTACTGGAGCTATATGTAAAGAATAGTGTGCACCACTTACTTGAGCTCCTCTGCAAGCACTGCAAAAACACAAAATCCCAGAGCCCTTAATCACTCCTTTGAGCCCTGTAGTCCCAGCCTCTCTTATCTACGAGAACATATCAGTTATTCATTCAATTAAAAAAAGGATTAAGGGACTCAATAAAAAATTCAATTCCCATGAAAGACAAACTGGGTGGTCATATACCTTTGCACCTCGAAGATAATATACAGTAAGTCCCTCAAGTATTCCTGTATCAAAAAGATCTTTCAACCTTGCAGGAAAGTTCCTATGAAGTTTCTTTGGTCTTCCTCGATTCTGGGTAGAAGCAACAGGAGCACTTAGAGCACCATCTGTCTCAACTTCACTGACCTCTTCTTTCACTTTGCCCAAGCTTGATGGCTCCGCGTTGTTTCTCACATTGGAATTGTTAGAATCGGCTTCCTGCTTCACTACCGACCTGGTGAACCTCCTCAAAGGCTTATCAACTAAGCGAATCTCTGGCTTTGCATCAGCACATGGTGTAAGAAAACCCAAATGTGATGAATCAACACATGAATCACCAACACTGTTTTGCTTACGAAAATCATCTTTTTTCTTGGTATATTCATTAACACCAATTTCTAGATTTATTTGCTTGGCATCACCATTAGCCTCAAATTCACCGCCCTCCACTTTTTGGTTCACCATCAACCTCCTCTGGAATTTACCATCAGCCAAACCATTTTGCAACTTGACACCATTAACAGAGCAAGAATTAGAAATCGGCTTTGATGGCAGACTAATACCTCCACAACATGAGACATCTGCTTCTGTATCAACAACAACCTCCTCCTGCCCTCCATCCGTCAATAAACCCTTCTCATGTTGCTCCATTTCAATATCGTGTTCATGCTTCTCCCCATCAATCGCCACAATACAATGTCCGTTCTCCATCTCTTCATCCTTCTCAGATTCTTCCTTGCATTTACCAAACACGGGTACATTGTCTTCCTCCTCTCTTTTCTTCTTTTCCTGATCATCATCTACACACATAGGTTCCACAGAATCCACCAAAGCAGATTCCTCAACATTGTCAACAAACAATCTCTTACTCATCGATTCAACAGAATCACCCTTCCCTTCTTCGATATCGACAACATCACTCTTAGCTTCATCTTCATCAAGAGCACATCCTGCACCATCAGATTCAACAAAATCATCACATTTCCCAACACGCTTCTTCTTTCTCCCAGTTTTCAAACCAGAACCGCCATTCAAGGTCTTCTCCTCTGTACAACCGGAGCCGCCATTTAGGATTTTCCTTGCCCTGGTCCGACCCAGGGACTCGCCACCGCAGATCTCCGACTGGGACCGCAACACGAACTGCAACTCTCTCTTCAACCCCGTTCGGACATGTGAAACAACGACAAACTCGTCCGTGACCGTACCTTTCGCCATCGATTCACCGAGATCAAGCGAACCCTAAATCACCTAAGCCCCTTGCAAATCAACCCCAAATATCCAGCTAGCTAACAAGAGCATTGATACACCGATACACCCATATCGATGTTCGTATTTCTCCGAGTATGAGGAAAGGAAAACTAGGGTTTTGTAATTTTGCAATGAAGGTAAAGCGAAGACGAGAGGCGGTCGGATTTCTTCGGAGAGTCCACACTGGAGAGGGATCCCAAATTTCTCTGGTATAATGACTAAAATATCCCTACCGAAATAGCGAGAATATCATAATTTGCACTTATTCACAAATGCCCCTTACTTTATTGTTTTCCAGTTTATGCCCCAAAAAGAATGATAATTGAGCAATGCCACCCCAACTATATCTTTGCCAAGTACAAATGAAGAACGAAATTCCCAAGTAATAGTTTTACGATCCTTGAAAAAACAAAAATCGAAATTACCATACATCAAATAAATAGTTTTTTATTACTAAATTTATATATTGAATAATCATTAAGTAAAAGAGAAAATTTGAGAATTAAATGCAGATATATTTAATTGTTTTAGAAAGAAAGGTTAAAAGTTAAATATATGAAATTGGTGGATAAATATATACTACATTTATGAAAACCTGAAGGCTACATATGAAGATGCCTTTATAATACGATATTTGTAATTTATCCAAAAAAAAATTATCTATCTATTCATTTATAATATGTAGAGTAAGATCATTGGATATGACAAAGTGTTTTAAAATTACATTTTATATATCTAAAGAAAATTTTGTGATTTATTGATCTAAAATACAAATAAAGTTCTTTATGTTGTGCGTAAATATATTTTATGATTACGTCACCACCAAATCTTTATTTATATCAAAATTTATCTATCACCAATTAGTTTTGTTGAATATATAATTCTTTTTAATTCCGCATATTTGATTTGTTTGTTCTTTCTTTTTTGTATTTTTACTCTTACAATGAATACGTTATATAATTTTATAATTTCCACTTGTAACTGTTTATACTTTATAGTTTTGATAAGCTCAAATTGAATTTCACAAACTTGGATAAAAAAACTGAAACAAAAAAATATATATGTGCAGGGGTAGAATTGTAATTCATTGTATAATGCAGAAGGCAATATTTTTTTTTAAAACTCGTGGATTTTCGCGGTTCTAGGTTGGTGGGTAAATATGGCCAACGACTCGTTCCTTTTAATTTCTCGATAGACAAAATCTCAATTAATTATACATCGATCGTCTTTATTTGATTGCATGGACATGGACGTCATTAAATACCTCTTTATATTTTCAAAATAGATGTTTCTAATAAAAATATATATATATATATATATATATCTCAATATTTTTTTATTTTTGGTAATATGAAATCGGCAAACGTGTGCATGTTGTCGTACCAATAAACAGAGTCAAGAAAGACCTAATTTTTTCCATGGGACATGGGGAATAAACCCCCCCACGTATTCCTTCTTCTTGTCTGCCTCCTTTAATATTTCCTGCTATGGGTTACAGCTAGGAGTATATATATACACACACATTTATATATAGATTGCTAGTAATTTTATCGTGATATATAGAGACATATATTTAAACAGTAAATTGTAAATTTTAAACCGCGGAAAATAAAAATAGTTTATATAATGCAAGACCCATTAATAATAATAAAAAATCGTTCTGACCTTTATTTCACGACGTTGAGTGAATAGTGATGGGGAAAAGGGATACAATTAATATTGTTATAAATACGTTGGAAAATAAATATGTCGATGCTCCATGAAAATTATATTCTAATTCTCTTACATACTCCAAGAACACCATCGAGACATTAAAGATCAATTGCACCAAGTGAAATGAAGATCAATATAGAGATTATAAAAGGAAAGCGATAAAAGAGGGATAAATGCCAAAGATTCTGAAATTGCCCGGGGGAACAGATCGGATATATGCCTCCACGTACGTCCGTCCGTACATCAGCCGTATCCGAAGAACTTCGATGTGTTCATGTCGTCACCATCGGACGTCGGCATGCTCTCTCCGGCCCTAACAAATTCATCCAATTCCCTTCTTGTGCCTTCGGCCATTAGGGTTTTCAAGACAAGACCTAGAGGCATACGTGTGTGTGTATATATATATATATGATATTTGGGTTGAGAGGAAAGAGATGACCCAAGCATGAAAGGTATAAGAGCTTTATATATATATAGAGAGAGAGAGAGATAGATAGATAGATAGATGCATGTGAAGTGGGTGAGTGAGTTTTGTACTGTGAATTGTATACTTTTGTTTATTCTATTCGACCGACTGATTTTGAATAGCAGATGTCTAATTAACTTTATGAAATCGAAGAGAATCTTAGTTAAAACCAATGGGATATTCCCTCTGTATTGCCTAACTAAGTCCCAAGTTTGGTTACCATCAAGATTATATAACATATATACGCGAGTTTGTATACGCGTGTGTATATATAATATACGGTGTATGCAGTTGAGTGCAGAGAGGATCTTCCAAGGGATATGCGGCGACACACTTCATTGCTCAGCATTTAAAGATGTCACCACTTTCCTATTTATTTCTTTTTATTATTTCACTTTGTCACTATGTATGTATGTATGTATGTATGTATGTATGTATGTATGTATGTATATATATATATATATATATGTAATAAAAAGGGTCATAAAGATGGAGTAAAAATGCTATCAGATAATAACTACTGCGAATCATGCAACTAACAAGCAACAAACGCCGAAACAAGAAGGCAAGGAACAAGCATCTTCCAGCTTCCAAGATCTCTTGATTTCTTCACAAGAAATGCCAAAGAGACAAAGAGTTTAATTTATATTCCCTTTTTTAATTTAAGACTAATCCAAAGGCAAAGAATCAAATTATATATATATATATAATTCATGCAAACAATCAAATTGATCTCTCAAAATCCAGCAGCACCCCGTTTGCGTTTCCGCCACCCTTTTGAAAACAATATGGCTCCACCCAATCACCAACCACCCCGAACGCAAACGCTAACGCAATCGCAGACGCAGATTCCACCGCCTCTTCACAAGCGTATAAACGTGGTCGGATGCATCATCATCGCCCTCTTAATATCCGCACTCCTCGTCGCCCTCGCCTTCTTCATCACTTGGCTAACCCTAAAGCCGAAACGCCTCGTCTACACCGTCGAGGCCGCATCTTTGCAAGACTTCTCCCTGACGAACAGCGATCACCTGAACGCGAAATTTGACTACGTTATCGTATCCCGCAATCCCGAAAAACACGTCACGGTCAGGTACCATTCCATGCGAGTCTCGACGGCTCATCACAACCAATCAGTGGCACACCAAGAGATCTCTCCGTTCAGGCAGCCGCCCAAGAACGAGACGAGGATCGAAACCCTGCTCGTTTCAAAGAGCGTGGCTCTCTCGAAGTACAACGCCAAAGACTTGAGGGCCGAGAAATCAAAGGGCGTGATCGAGATGGACGTTCACATAACGGCGAGAGTTAGCTACAAGGTCGGGATTTTCCGGTCTAGGAGACGGACGTTAAAGGCGGTTTGCTCGCCCGTTATGCTCAACGTCACGTCGAATTCGTTGGACGGGTTCGAGAGAACGGATTGCGTAACTCGTCTTTGATTGGACACGGCACGACGACGTAGAGAAACGACATGTCCATGCATGCGTTGTTCTACTTGTCTGAAAACGCACGTGTTCTGTTAAAATGTTTGATATTCGTTTTATTTGTCTTGTATCGGTGTGTTATTTTTTTTTTAAAGTTGAATAAAAGTTGTAGATTATCAATGTAATTAAGTTCGGTAAAAAAAAAACAAGTTTAAGATTGGAAATTTAGTCGTATATTAGGTCAAAATCCTCATGGACCGTTAATGTGGAACACATCAATTGGAGAAAATTTCCGAATATCTTTGGAATTTCATAGCCTATAATATTTTGATTGAAGAACGAACAACAAGAAATTACATGCCAAATAATGGGCTCGAATATTATATTTTGGGTTTTGTCTGATGGGCCCAGTAGTAAGGCCCAGCATTTCTTCTATAATTCTTTTTTTTAATTGGAAAATATAAAGAATGAATTGTTCACAAATCTTTTTTTTTTTAATATCGATATTATTGTTCTTTTTAACCTTTAAAATTAATAAATTCAATCTGGGCACGAGTAAATGGAAGGATTATGAAGAAGCGCCTTATGAAGTTTGCCCCCTTTTGTTGTATTTTAGTGAATTGTTTATTGTTGGCATCACTATAGAAAATGAATTCCAAGCCACAATATGTATTTATAAATAAAAACGAAATCGAAATTTAAGGCAAAATTTATGCGAAGTGATAAATCATTGGCATATACATACACGCATTTTGGGGGGTTAGGAAAGGTTTAATTTTTTTGGATTATATATATGGGCAGATCGATGAGAAGTTTGCCCAAATCTCCAAACTCTTTTGTGTTGTGGAACCCCCAAAATTTTATTGGCAATGAAATTAAAAAAAAAACATTAGCAATGCAATTATTTTGTTGCAAACAGCGACAAAACATTGATTAAATCAAATACTAATTATGACACTAATTCAAAATCTCTAGGTAGAAGAATTATATATTTGATTATATGATCTCTAAATTTCCGAAACGAGTTTTATTCTTAATTAATCGAGATATATTGTTATACATAACATTAGATTAAATTTATGTTTTGAGGTGGTTCGGTTCATACTATATATATGATTTAATATTAGGACAAGGGTTGATATGATAAAGATATGGAATGAACAATCTATATGATAACTTAGAAAAACTCCAAAAGAGTTTTTCATGTGAGAAATGCGAGAAAAAGTCAAATTAAGGGTGGGCATAATTAACTTCGTGTTGTTATACATTGTTATTAAATCATATATAGGAGCATATATCACGCAATGTGTGGCCACATGCCTCCATTGACAACATTCACCAAGACCGACGTGTATATATATATGAATACATATACCATTAATTTTATTGCATATGTCATGAATGATGAGTAACAATAACAAATGATCTTAATTAACAAAAAAATAATCTTTTTGTACATGCATTGAATTATTGAAAATATATGCGGATAATTAATTATTTTAAAGTCACAAATTATAGAATTTGGCTATGGTGGATCGATCTTGATTTCTTTCGGATTGTAAAATCTCTGGAATATATGATACTAATCTTTGAGAATGGTCTGTCATAACATGCTTTTTTGGTTCATTAAACCGACCCACCCAATTAAATGATTTTTGTTTATTTAATAACCATGTTTTTAGCAAACTTTTTTTTATAAAAAAGATGAATCTAACCAAAATGTGCATAATAAACACACTTACATTTCAGATGTTTTTCATTTTCTTGGTTTTTTGTGTTTTTCTAACATACATACATACATACATACATACATACATACATACATACATACATACATATGTATAAAGCAGTGTCGTTTTCAGTGGAGATAAACCCAAAGGACAATGTACCAGAAATAAAGAAAGAAAGTAGAATCTTCATCGGGAATATGAATCTATGACCACATACTGAATTTACATACGTATTGTAGGAAAACCTACTCTTTAATTAATAGCATATATTAATCATGTATGATATCGTATTTTTATAAAGTTAATAAGGGTAAAAATGGAAACTCAACGGGTGGTGTGCTGATACAGTTGGTTTTAATTAGGTGCAAGGAGTGGACTTGGAACTAAAAGCAAGGCAACCTCCACCCTCCTATCTAATCTATTGTTTTTAATTAATTAATCAGTTAATTTATTTCAATCTCGATTTTTTTTTAAAAAAAAATAGTTAAACATCGATTGTATATGTAAATATCTTATTTAATTTAATTTGTTCAATATACATAGCATTGAATTTAATTAATTAATTAATTATACGGTACCCCATAAAAAGGGTAGAATATGGATTTGAGTGAGTGAGTGAGTGAGTGAAACCACTTTGACATCACTATCTTAACTTATTCTTTCTTTTTTTCTATATCGCTTTTGTCATTCGTTGAAACAAATTCCACACACAAAAAAAAAAACATGGTGAACATTGTTTTCGATTTTCTCATATTTATTAATAAATTTATTTGTCTGTATATCAAAAGAGATAGACATCAAATAACTCTACGTTTGTTTTTTCATCTATACAAAAAAAAAAATTATTTGTCCGTATTTCAAAAGAGATAGACATCAAGTATATAACTGCATGTTTCTTTTCCCTCATCTATAAAAAATATTGTATTCTTAGAAAGGGGTATATATATGTATATGTATATATTGTTTCAAATCAATTATGATATATTATAGTCCCGTATAACAATTGGCAAGACGGGTGAATCTTGTGACATGATTTTAATATTTTTTTATTTGTAAATTTTGTATTTGTTGATGCTATGATTACAAACTCCATGTTTTTTTTTATAAAAATTTTCCATGAACAGAAAAAAAGAGAGAGGAGAAGTGATGATGTGGTGAGGAGAAAAAGACCGAAAACGGAGGAGGAACCTAATCCACGTCTTTTAAGTTGTGGTGGTTCTGCTGCCAAACCCTAACTCAGCCACGTCCTTCTCGTGTCCCCCCCTTCGCCTTTCTGTTTTATCCCCCTTTTGTTTTTGTTTTTTTTTTCATTTTACACTTGCACTAATTAATAATATTCTCTGAAATTCCTATATATATACATATGCCACAGTTATATATTGACTGTATCATAATACTTCGGATCTTAAAAAAAAACACACTTATGCATGATCTCAACACTCTATGATTTCGTCTCAGTGGTTCAGTTTTTTTTTTTTTTGTTAAATTGGGTTTGATTTTTTTTTTTGGGTATGATTCGGATTAGAGTTGGTTTGTATTGACAAAAGGTTCAAGCCGAGTTCAGTTTCGTCTGGTTTTGGTTTAGATTACGTGACGATTAATTATATTAGTCTTAACAAAAATGATGGTTTTTTATTTGTTTTTTTTTCGGAATCGATTTAGTTCAAAATTGGGTTAATTCGAGAGATGTAAAAAGGAAATACAGTGTTGTTCACGTGTTAAAAAAAGAAAAAAAAAACTGTATATAAAATACATATTTTAAAAAAATTTTTTTATAAAAAAAAAAGAGAGAAAGAAACGAGATTATACCTTAAAAAAAGGGGGGAAGAAAAGATGCCAAGCCATCACTTGCTTTTCGTGAATGAAAGGCAACCATTGAACACTAACCACTTGCTTACTCAAAGTATTCTAACTTCAACAAGTAGATCATCTATCTTTCATACATCCTTTACCACTTCCCCAATTTTCACCTATTTTATATTATATAATATAATGTTTTTTTCGCATTAGAAAATAATAATTCCAATTACAAAACACTAACAGCAATGAATCGGTGGTATATGATCTCTTTTCTTGGCTTTTCTGTATCACCGCTAGTAATGGCAATCTACCAAAGCCGGTGTCGCTGAGAAGACAAGCCCTTGAAACTTGGACTCTCTCAGATCATCTTCCGGCGCCGGAAGATTAAGATCCAACGGTAGATACTTCCTCGGCTCGATCCTACGGTCCACGTCATCCGCATCCTCTGGACTCGCACCCACCCGCGGATTGCTGCCACCCTCTCCCGCAGCTCTTGCTGACATGGCGCTCCTGTGCCGCCTCATGTGGCCGCCGAGGGCTTGACCGGAGGTGAACTCCGACCCACAGATCGAGCACTCGTGAACTTTGTTCGGCTTGTTGTTGTTGCTTGCCGGTGAAGCTAGGGTTAGGCCGGGGATCTTCGTCCGACAATTCTGCACATCCTCCGGGGCGACAGTCTTCGGGGCCGGGAGGGGCAATTTCGTCTTTTCGACTTCCGTCCTCGGCTTCTTGTGGCTGGCGCGGTGGCCGCCGAGGGCTTGGAACGACGGAAACGTCCTGTTGCATGTTTTACACTCGTAGACGTATAACCCTGAATTCTCATGCTGAGTTTTCTCCGACCAGATCTTGTGGATTTTCTCAGACTTTTCTATCTTTCTCCGCAGCGGAGGAGGACCGGCGGCGCCGGATGCGAGCATGATGAGGCAAATTGCCATATCTTCTTCTTCTTCCGTGCAGTAGGCGGCTGCCGCGGCGGAGGAGCTGGAGATTGTTGCGGTGGCCAGAGAGGAAACCGCCGAGTTGTAATCGTCCCCGCCGTAACAAACGGCGAGGACGATCTCTGCCGCTTCGTGCGCTTCCCCTTGATGATGTCACGAGTGTACTGATAGCTTCCGAGCTCATCTTGGACATCCATGACTACTCAGGATCAGAGAAAAATGAAAACCCAATTGAAGAAACAGATCAATAAACAAACCCAAGTGAAGAAATTGTGAAAAAACGATCGAAATTGTGGTTAAAGGAACGAACTTTTGGTGTTTGTGTGTGGAGTGAACTAACAAGAGAGAGAGAGAGAGAGAGAGAGGAGAAGAAGTAGTGAAGGAGGAAGATGGTGGGGCTTGCTTATATATACACACAAAAAGTGAGTGGGTTATAACTTATAACGTTGGTGGTGGTTAATAAATTTTAGTTCACTGAAAAGGAAAGAAGAAAAAAAAATGCCACGTGGAGGAAATTATTTACCTAAATTTTTTACAGATGCATGAATATTAATTTCCCCAGATTACTCTACCTTTTTTACCATATACAATTACGAGTTTCTAATTTAAACATGTAAATAATAGAAATAAATCCCACCACATATTTTTACTAAAAAATAACATTTAAAATACGAAACACATTAAGAACATATTTCTCTATGCTTCTATATATAACATTTATCTTTGCTCCTAATTAATCAATTTCCCTCATTCTGATCTAATGTTAGATCCATGAGAAGTCAACTCTCGCCAATATCTTTTTAAAAACGCAAAAAAGAGAGTCTAATTATCGTTTTTATTGCCATTCCTATATATTATATGATATGAATTTTACTCCAATTAATTAACCAAGTTACAAAGTGAATCAAACTTAAAAGGAATAGTAACCTTTAACAATATAATGTTAAAAAAAACAGTTCATATTAAAAACAGAAATCTAGTAGAAAATTCATATATAAAAGTTTATATTAAAAAAACAGTTGGCGAGGATTTATTTTTATTTTTTGCCAACCCAACAAAAAAAAAACAGAGGGGGTGGGGAAAGGTTAACCACCGAATTAGGCAAACTCTTCATTAGAAGTCGGTCCACGTTTTATCTTATTTTTATTTCTATTTATTTTTGTCAACATTCAATTTTTTTAGCAAACAAGAAAAGGTTTTTACTTTTTCACGCACTTTAAGTCCACGTCATATGGCCAAATCTTCAGTGGGACATTAAATTGTTCACGACAACATCAATAATGGGGATTCCTTGTTATTAGTTTTCACGATTCATGGTAATTATATACAATACATATTGCTCTAATTTTTGTAAACTCGGTTATATTTGTCATTTTAAAAAATAAAAAATAAATCATGTACTGGTATGTAATGATAGAATATGGAAATAATGCCAACAGTTTATTATTACAAAAAAATAAAATCATATGTAAATACAAGCACTACAAAAATACATCGCATATGCGACGGACGTATCCGTCGCACAGCGTACACATATCCGTCGCAACAGATATTTTGCGACGGGTCACGACGGGCACAAATCCGTCGGTATAGAGCTGTCGCAAATTTGTTTCAGTCGGTTTCACCGTCGCAAAGTTACGACGGACATTTCCGTCGGTATATTACCGACGGAAATAAACCGTCGTAGACCGTCGCGTTTATGTTTGTCGCACATTGCGACGGAATTATCCGTAGCAAGTTACCGACGGCAGATATCCGTCGTTTATGCGTTGCTTTATTAATTTTCGAACGTAACGACGGATTCCGACGGAGTTGGTCCGTAGCAAGTTACCGACGGCAGATATCCGTCGTGTATGCGTCGCATTATTAATTTTCGAACGTAACGACGGATTACGACGGATTTGGTCCGTCGCAAACTTTGTAAAAATAATTAAAAAATAAAAAATCAATTATTAATTTAAAGATTTTAAAAATCAATTATTAAAACAAATTCATAAATAAAAATACGAATTAATTAAAAACAAAAAAAGATTCATATTTAAAAAAAAAGTATAATACAATAATTTAGAAAGAGTTATAATACAAATACATCTACGGATCTACCGGTGCATCGTTGTCGAGATTGGTGGGTACGTCCTCTGGGAACTTCCGCATCAGACTCTTCGTCTCATAATACGATTCTGTTGCAGTATTACCTTCTGGTAGATATTGTTTGAACATCTGACTAAATCCGTCAATACATTTCTCCGGAATATTGTAATCAGTCTTCATGTTCATCAATTGTGACGACAACGACAATCTCGATAGACCTTCACTGCATCCTTCATATATTGGAGTGCTCGATGTATTAAGGATCTCGTAGAACCTTTTAGCCTCGGAATTTGGCTCTTCTTCCTCCCCGTAAGACGGTTGACCGACATTTGGAAACGCATCAAACACCATTTCTGAATACAGATTTCTTTCTCCTTGTTGAAATTCGTTTCGCTGCTCATCGATAATGACTTGATTAACTACACCATATGAAGACGTCGTGTCCAATGTATCTCCGTGAGCTAGCCAAACAAAATAATTGGACATGAACCCTCTTCGATATAGATGATTCCACACTTGTTGAATATACTGCCATTTCGTATTTTCACACTTCACACACGGACATGGAAGTTTCGACCCTTCGATATATGACGGTTGAGATGTAACAAACACCGGAAGTCTAGACACATTAGTTTACGATATAGCTATGTGAATGATCTTATAAAAGACGGGGCTATAGTGGTAGATTTTGTGCGTACAAAATAAAACTTGGTTGATGCTCTTACCAAGAGTTTGTCGAGGGACATTTGCATAAATGACAATAGGGATGAGTCTTAAGCTTATTGATTAAATCACATTTAGAGTTACAATGTTCCTTACCATAAAGTACCGTTGGTTCGCTCTGGGCTAAGATGCGGTCTCATCGTACGACGATCCTCGGATGCGAGGATTTCCCTGAGTGATACTGATGAATCACGCGAACAACCTTCATGTGAAGGTTGCTGTGTGGATTGACCCGTGAAAGGTTGATCCAAACGAGGTGTGGGTATTGGGGGCTGCTGAGAAGTAGGGGTAGAAGGGCTAGAAACACCGGATCCTCGTCCAATATGGCAATTCCCAAAATATACTCTTCTTATGCCAGTTGTGATAATCACCATATCCTTCAATCGGTAAATGACCGTTACCACCAACCACTGATGTAGTAGATAATCCATGTGACCGAACACATTCTTCGATTCGTTCAAGTAAAATTTCATTCCCGGTATGTTCAAGTGGCGCAGAATCAACAACAACTATATTTGTTCGAAAATTCTTCTTGTTGCGTCGTAACACGTGATTTCTTGGTAGAAAACGCCGATGGTTATCAAACCAACTCATTTTTCGTCCGTGCTGCAACCAAAATGCATCAGTTTCATCCATGCAATATGGACACGCTAGACGACCATGTGTTGTCCAACCTGACAACATAGAGTAAGCTGGAAAATCACTAATCGTCCATAAAAGAACTGCTCGAAGCAAAAAATTCTGCCTCACCGACACATCGTATGCAGTGACACCTACACTCCACAACTCATTCAACTCTTCTATCAACGGTTGAAGAAACACGTCTAAACTTCTTCTAGGATGTGTAGGTCTTGGAACCAGTACTGAGAGGAACAAAAACTCTCTACTCATGCACATTCCGGGTGGTAGATTGTACGGTGTTAGAATCACCGGCCATACAGAGTAGTTCCGACCCGACATTCCAAATGGATTAAACCCATCTGTGCATAATGCTAGATAAACATTTCTAGCCTCTTGAGCAAAATCAGGAAATACCTGTTGGAAATGTTTCCATGCTAACCCGTCTGATGGATGATGCATTTCCCCATCTGGAGTACAATGTTCATCGTGCCACCTCATATGTGATGCGGTTTTCTCAGACTGATATAATCTCTTCAATCGATCTGTAATAGGCATATAAAACATTCTTTTCAATGGAATCAACTTGCCTTTTTTGGATGCTTTTCGTCGTGGCCGATACCGATCCTTCCCACAGAACCGACATTGCATCAATCCTTCGTCATCCTTCCAAAAAATCATGCAGTTGTTTTCGCAAACATCAATCTTTTTATACGGTAGCCCCAACTTCCGCATCAGACTCTTCGTCTCATAATACGATTCTGTTGCAGTATTACCTTCTGGTAGATATTGTTTGAACATCTGACTAAATCCGTCCATACATTTCTCCGGAATATTGTAATCAGTCTTCATGTTCATCAATTGTGACGACAACGACAATCTCGATAGACCTTCAATGCATCCTTCATATATTGGAGTGCTCGATGTATTAAGGATCTCGTAGAACCTTTTAGCCTCGGAATTTGGCTCTTCTTCCTCCCCGTAAGACGGTTGACCGACATTTGGAAACGCATCAAACACCATTTCTGAATACGGATTTCTTTCTCCTTGTTGAAATTCGTTTCGCTGCTCATCGATAATGACTTGATTAACTGCACCATATGAAGACGTCGTGTCCACTGTTTCTCCGTGAGCTAGCCAAACAAAATAATTGGACATGAACCCTCTTCGATATAGATGATTCCACACTTGTTGAATATACTGCCATTTCGTATTTTCACACTTCACACACGGACATGGAAGTTTCGACCCTTCGATATATGACGGTTGAGATGTAACAAACGTCATAAACGCTTGCAATCCTTCTTCAAAATCTTTGCATATTTGATTTGTGTATGGATCTATTCTTTCATACATCCATCTCCTTGCATTGAAAGACATTTTTTTTGGGTTTTTTTTCGTTTGGGGAGGGTTATTTTTCGGTGGGGAGGGTTATTTTTCGGTTGCTTGATGGTGGTGATATGCGCGGGGTTATATTGTTGATAATTGCGACGGCTATGCGACGGACTTGCGACGGATTTGTTGCGACGGATACCGACGGACTACCGAACTCACGACGGAATGCGACCGTTTGCGACGGACATTCTGGCAAAAAAAAAACGTTTCCCACCTAACTATACCTAACTATACGACGGATTCGGTGCGTCGTATTTCCGTCGCTAAAAAACGACGGAAAGTTACGAAGGGTAGTCCGTCGCATAATTCCGTCGGAAGTCCCTCGTTTTCGGTCGCAATAAGTTTGCGACGGACTACTCCGTCACATTCCGTCGTCTTAGGTTGCGACGGAAACCTACGGAATACATCAGAGTGTTTACCGTCTGTATTCCGTCGTTATCCGTCGTTAATTTTTTTGCGACGGACATATCCGTCGCAATGTCCGTCGTAGTTTAGCGCTTTTTTTGTAGTGAAGACACATTGCATGGTATGGAACCAATGGCTTCGAAATGAAATTATTAGAGGGGTCCGTTGGTTACAAGTCTCGTTAATTATTGTCAATACAACGAATTTGTCTAATTTTAGTAATAAATTATAAAATTAAACGCTAATATGCTCAAATAGTCGCTAATAATTTGATAGTCAGTGATTATTATAAATATTTAAGCTTGATAATTAGGAAAAAAAATATGTGGATCGGCTTAATAATTAATGAATCTCTCCGACAAAACTCACTGTCGAGGCTGAAGGTTTCATAATCTGAATTCTGAAACATGGATCTAATGATATTATATATTTCATAGAATATCCGGATTTTACAATATTGGACTTATCCGATCTCTAAAGATCATATCATATAACATAGATATTTGTATGTAACAAAATTTTATTTTATTTTTTTTAAAAGGGAGAAAAGGCTCAAGTGGATATGACATTATTTTCGGTTAGGGAAAGGAATGTGTGGGTTGCAAGTATGTGACATACCCATCACTTCTTTTCTTCACCGGAAAATTTTGCTAATTTCATGCACCATTTCCACACTTTACATCGGGATTGCTGCTATATATATATATATATAATATCGGAATATTAATAATACATTTAAAACAAATATACATATACTGATTTGGTTTTATTGGAAATGTATATGTAAATTATCAGTTAAAAAAATATACGTAAACTATCGTTAGTTTTTTTTATTCATTAATTTCTATAATCAAACATGATTTTAGGGGTAGAAAAATATAATACAGACAACCTAGCAGATTCTTTTTTTTTATCCTGCCATATATATACGTATTGTGGCCCGTGTATATATGTGTAACTAATAACGTGTTGCAACTTGCGCTTGGGAGATAACCAAATCAAATGTTTTCATGGCGCAATTTGTGATCTGAATATAATGTAACTAAGTCAAAGTTCGGTGATGCAAATATCATATGATTTTTACATTAAACAAATAATCAAATAATTTATGGGATCCCTGCAATATGTCTTATATATATATATATATATTTTTTTTATCAATGATGCAGTAAAACAACATGGCAAACGTAGTAGGAAAATAGAAGGGTATACATTGTCTTAATATATACTATGTTCCATGTGCTGTAACAAAATAACATTTATAATGGGGATAATTTGATTAATAGTAAAAGTTTTTTTTATGGAAATTTTTATTCATTTTGTTTTCCCTCTAGATGTTTTATTTTTCAAAGTTAAAATATTTTTTTTTCGTTTTTCCGTCCCCCCCCCCCCCAAATAATAAATGCCGTGCTATAGCTATAGGCTACATCTATGGATAAAATTTTATCGAGGAATATTTACAAGAACCCACGGGACTAGGGTTAGTAGTGACAATTAATTGTTAAAAGAATTAATTATAGATTAGAGAAGATTAAGTAGTCAATTAAACACAATAATTCGACGAGGAAGAAATGATTGGTGGAAGCTACTCTCGTTCACGTTGAGCTTTTCGGAATCTTATTGTCTCGTGCCTTAAGTGGCCTTCACATCCATAAATTCTATAAGACTAATTCTATGCATGTTTATATACATATACACACACACGATCAAATACATAATGCATACAAATCATTGAAATTATTTGCTTGCTAATCATTGTTTAATTATACAACAAGTAAATGTTGGGGAAATTAGAAAGACAAATGCACGGTGTTGCGTAAAGCAAAGACACCAACAGATGTGCGGCTACAAAGCTACTGATTTTTTAACTCACCGCATTCTGTATAGCGAACATAAAATTATTAAAATAAAAGAACTCGTACGTATGATTTGCTAATAATGTATGAATATATGTAAAATAACATTATTACATGTTTTTATATATATATATATATATAAGTGGCTTTTAATTGAAGAATGCTACAAAATAGGGTTACTCTAGTACATGCAACAACATTAACGTAATTTAAAGTTAAATTCTCAGTTACAAACACTACAAAAAAACTGCGAAATTCCAACGGATTTTTCCAACGGATTAATCCGTTGTAATTTTTCCAATGGATTTCCAACGGGATACCGTTGGAATAATTCCAACGCATTTCTAACGGATT